CGCCGGCGGGGGCGCCCCCCGGGTGGCGGGGAGGGGCCCCTCGGCCGGTTCTCCCGCGCAGGGCGAGGTGACTGGAGGCAGCTGGTCCCACGGACAGTGCAGCCCCTGCCAGCGAGGGCTGAGGGAGACAACCAGCACCTGCGTGGGCTGAGGCAGCATGGCTGCAGCCTGCAGCAATGGCAGCTTCCAGGGGTTTCAAGGGCAGCCCCAGGTTGAGTACATTGCAGCAGTCTAGACTGTTTTTTTTTTTTAACTGCTCTGTGGAACTTGAAGGGGTCCCATGACAGACTTAATGGCAAAAACAGTTCCCCTGAGCATGGCAAATTTTCTGTCACTAGAGTGTTGCCTCTTGATGGGAAGTTCTGGGGTTTGAAACCCCTGCTCCAGATGGGGATGACGGGGCACGAGTGACAGCAGCAGTTTCCTGACCGGGAACTGGCGCAACTGAGGCCTCCCACCCACAGCTGCTACCTGCTCTTCCAGCAGGAGCCAAGAGGAACCCCAGATTATGCACCAGCTCCTCCTGGGGGAGCGTAACCCCGTCCAGGATCAAAGGGGAGGAGACCCAGAGCAGGGGACCAAGCCCGCGCAGGTTGAGCCAAGGCCTGCTTTTCCCCACCCAGGCCCCCATAGCCTCCCAGTGTCATCAGCACATTAGGGGTGACACCTGACCCTGGTGATGGGTGAACTCGCCCCACATTTTCACGAAGATGTTAAGGAAGAGTAGGGGTCTTGAGGGAACTGAGCAGGGGTCTCGAGGGAACTCAATTTTGCCCCCGCCCACACCGCCGTGCCTTCCACTCCCTGACTCAAAGCCAGTCCAGAAGGACGGTATGGTGGATGGCACTGAGGGCCGCAGAGACGAGGGAGGGCCAGGATGATGTTTCCGCCTCCACCCCAACCCCAAGGGTCATCTGTGACCCTGGTCAAGGCTGCCTCAGTACTATTCTGGCCTTAAACCTGACTGAAACAGGCCCATGAAAGCGTATTTCATTCAGGACCCCCTTGAGTTGGATCTGGGGAGACTGGAGACCGGATGAAAATGTCAGGTACCCCTGAATTCAAGGCAGGGCTCCTGCAGCGGTGGTGGGGGTGTGCCCCCCCCCACGAGCAGCATTTACCACCACTCCGATCCCACCACCTGTCACCTGCCCAGAGGCCTTCGCCAGCCGAGAGGGACACAATGGAAGAGAGGCAGCCCCCTCCCAGCCCGAGGGCCACGTCCGCCCCTTTCGGGCCAGCAGCTCAAGCTCTTCCCAGAGCACGAGGCTGCCCTGCTCCAGGGGGCTGCGCGGCCGCGGCCGAGCAGGGCCTGAGCAAATCGCTCAGGCTGGGCCGGACCTCGCAGGGGTCTTCGCGGCCCCCTTGCAGATGCTCCTGCGGCCCCTCCCTTCCCAGGAGAGGGGGTTTCCGTGAACAAGGCGGCTGAGGGGTCTGCCGATGGCGCAGGAGCGGGAAAACGGGCTGCCCGCGGCAGTCTGAGAAATCGCTGCTCCGGAGTCGGGGGTCGGGGCTTGCGTCTGCAGCTCCCCCACTGCAGGGAAGAGGAAGGCCTTCCGGGCGGTGCTGCGCCCCGCACCCGGGCCGCGGACGGCTGGCTTTCACGGGCAGGAGGCAGCGGCGCTTCCTCCCTCCGATCTCTCTCGGAGCCGTGCTCCGAAAGGCAGCCCTGCTCCTTCCCGGAGGCCTCGGCCGGCGTGGTCGCCAGAAAGATCCCCACCCGAGGCCCCCACAGGAAGTCACCGCCCGGTTTTTATGGGGGTGGAGTTCCAGCTCCCCTCGGAAACGACCGCCAGCCCACAGGTTGCCATGGCGGCGGAAAGGAAAGCCCCCAGGACCACCTGTGGCCGCTCTCCTCCTCCAGAGTAGACCTCTTGCTGGCTGGGGGGCCGGGTCAGTTCCCCGCAGCAAGCAGAGCAGCCACCGAGCTCAGAAGCGAAGGCGGGCGAGATGCCGGGAGGGACCCTCGGCCTTGGCCAGGAAAGCCTCACGGCAGCCCCCCCAAGACAAGCTCCCCCCGTGGCGTCTCCCTGCCCTGGCCGCCGGCTGCCCGGCGCTGCTCCTGCTGCCAGTGCGGGCACAGCCCAGCACGCCGCTGCCTGATCCTCCGGGTCACCCTCTGCAGAAGCTAGTGGCCGCAAGGGGGGCCCTCAGTGGCATCCCAACCTGGGAAGGAGGGGGCATAACAGCGTTAGTTTGTAACAGCCCCCCGCCCGCCACCCGTTGAGCAAGGGACAGGCACAGGTGGAGCAAAGCAAGAGCCGCTTTTCCAGCCACCGGAGCCTGGCAGAGGGGGCCTTCCTGTCTCCGCCATGGGGCGTGGGAGGTGGGCGGCTCAGACCTTCTACCAGCCTGGCTCTTGGCTGCCCCTTTGCAGGCCTGCTAACCCTGGCTTTCCTCCAGCGCTGAGTCCATCCTGCTCCCGTCATCACACACAGGGAGGCCAGGTCCAGGGGGGTGGGGCGGGTGCTGCTGCTGCAGCCATCTGGCCCCCTTCCTAGGCACTGAAGCCCGCCTGCTGGTGGGGCCCTTCTGCCTCGGCTTCTGTCTGCATGTCCAGGAAGGACAAGAGCTCGACAGACTAAGGGTGGGCATCCACCCCCATGCCTGTGACTCCTATTTCCCCTTGCCCAGCCTGGACGTTTCCCCCCAGCTGAAAAGCAGCAACTCCACACACCAGTGGCCGAGGATCAGCTCCTGGAGGCCCAGAGCCACGGCCTTGCTGCTTGCGCCACAGGGGAGCAGGAAGGGCCTGACGGCTGGCAGTGGGGCACAAGGTTGCGGCCCCAAGCTCCCACCCAAAGCTCCCCCTTCGCCCCAAAGAGCTGGAAGCAGGCAGGTGGATGTTCTGCCACCTTTATTATTCAGGAATAGGGTAGAACACAAGAACAGGGGCCCCCCATCGCCCACAAGCATGAAAGTAAGAGCTTCAGATGCCCCTCCCCTCACCCCCAGCATGGCTTGGGGATACCCCCCCAAGGCTGGCAATTTCTAGGGAGCTCTTACAGGGGGTGCTTGGGTGCCTGATTCTCCTGAAGCCTAATGGGCTGTGTGGACGGGGGAAGATGAAAATACACTCCGAGGCGGGCCCCTCCTTCCCACCTTGGCAGAGGGGGCAGGGGGTGCCCTAAAGTGGCAGAGCCGTGTGAAGAGGGGCCTCCCAAGAGCTTTCAGTTAATACACGATCAGCAGGAGCAAAATCCTAGCAGCTGAGGATTTATTTGCCCCCCACCCCCAGAAGGCACAACGAGCTATTTGTACAGTCAACCACGGTGGTGGGAGGGGGCAGCGAAGTCTGGACTTCTGCCCTTTTGCCCCAAGAACGGATTCTGCTTCAGGCCACGTCGGCAACAGCCCCGTCCGGAATGCCACCCCTTCGCCCCCATTCAGCAGGAGATCAAACCGGCCGCTCGTCCCTGGCCCACCTACCACGCAAAGCAAAGGGAGGGCCCTCCGAAGCACCTGCTG